ACAAGTAAAAGTGGCTTTTCTGATTTCCATTTTGGATTAGAAAGATTGAGGGACAATGACTCATGATAATTTAAACTAATAATTGGTTTAACTTTAATCAGTAATCCTGACTGAAAGATAGCAGCTACTCTTACACCTCAACCTGTTGATCTAGGAACATGAAAATTTAAATAATTAGCAGAAGCAGATTCATTTATACTAACAAAATCCTCCTGTGGTTTCTGTCAGACAGAATAAATCAATATGATGATCAGTTATCAGATCATTAACTAACAGAGACATAGAGAAAAGAGATCTGATGATAAATGATCCACATTTAATACTTTTATTATTTTGTTTTGGTAAAGTAACTGTTTATTTTTAATAAGATTTTTATTATTTATATTTTTAGAGCAGATTTTTGGTTTATTTAATTTTAGCCGTGGGCAAGTTGGCACTGTTTCAATGGGGGTTTAAGTGTGTAACAGAGGAGAATCAGCAGAGAGGTGTCCTGTTGATGTGTCATGTGACACGTCAGAACTCTGCTGGACTGTACCCTTTGTTGTTAATTATTTGGAGGCCTAACAAAATCGGCCAAATTTCTAGAAAGAAGAGCGTCTCCACCCAAAGTGGGATGAATGCCAGCTGTCTGCATCAGACCAGGTCTTCCCCAAGGACTGCTCCAGCTATCTACGTAGCCCACATTGTTTTCAGGGAACTAGCTGGACAGCCAGAGGTTGAACAACGACATATAACCAAACATGTCATCGTTGGTCAGGTTGGGGAGGGGACCAGAGAAAACTACGGAGTCCAACATAGTTTTTGCAAAGTTATACAACAAAGCAACAGTGATTTTAGTGACCTCCGATTGGAGTAACTGGGTGTCACAACACTTGATGGCACACTGGAATTAATTGTGCACATATGAAAGCTGCTTTTCTAAAAATGTCTAGAACATTAAAAACAGCATTAGGGAAGGATTACATAATGCTATGCCAGAATTTAAGAAGAGACTAGGTTGTAGGCATTTTGGTCAAATCTTGTAAATGGCTTTATGGAGATACACAACATAAACAATCCAATTCCCAGTTTAGACCATGTGTGAGTATTATATCATATAATCTGTTTCCAGAACATGGAGCTCTTATTGTTATCCAAACAACACACTGAGCTCAAATCCCTGCCAGCATCTTTTTTTTTTTTTTTTTGCCCACCTGCAAACTTAACATGAAATTTGTTCTCTGGCTTGAGAATTTGGACGTACAGGGGGCAGTTTGGAGCGAAGTCTTTGACTGCCCAGGCTCTCAGGATGGTTTGATGATCCTGAAAAAACAGAAAACAAAGTCCACTGAGACAGATGGAACAGAAAAATGGGAAGAAAGGCATAAAGTGAGGTACAAAGTGGTCATTAGCAGCAGCCGACTGTTGCATCTTTACAACAATCTCCCTTTAACCGCTGGTGGTGTGGAGAAATTGAATGATCTTGAAAGGTCAGAGTAATATATTTCTGACATTTCAAAATCAGGTGTTGCCAGAGCACGAATAAACTGTAAGGCTTTTCCAGTGATGGGCATTAAGATTCGCTGAAAGTAAAAACACTTTTACAGATTTACATCTGAGCTGGTGCCTCTATTAGGCTGACAGAAATTGTGTGAATGTTGATTTAGCATTCACATTATTCTCCTGATTCTTATTTATTTATTTATTATTATGCTTCTCAGAATTTTAGTTATTTCAGCATCAAAACGTTCAGCTCATTCATGACATTTCTTTGACTTTTGGTAGACCTATTTGTAGTTTGTTTACATTTTGAATTATTTTGCTTTACAAAGAAAAAATCCTTATTAAAAACAACTAGAGCTACAATTCCTTCAATAATAATGTTCTCCTTGAAATGTACTCCAGTAGCTTATACTGATACTTACAACAGCTGATACTACTACTGCAATTCACAATTTAATATTACTACTTTTAATGCTACTGTAAATTTGTTACTGCTACTGTTATTTATTTTAATGCTGAGTGTACTGCTGCTAAGGCTAATGGCTATTTTTACTATTGGTAATTTTACTAATGCTAATTGTACTAGTCTTAATACTCCTGCTGCTAAAGCTAACTGCTAATACTAATACGTGTACTGCTATTGCTTTTTCTACTGAGGCTAATACTATTACAATTACTGGTAATACTACTGGGCAGCACGGTGGCACAGTTGGTAGAGTTGCCGCCTCTCAGTGAGCAGGTCGCCCCGGTTCATATCCCAGACTTTCTGAGTGAAGTGTGCATGTTCTCTCCGTGCATGTGTGAGTTTTCTCCGGGTACTCCGCTTTCCTTCCACAGACCAAAAACATGCATGTTAGACTGATTGGTAACTCTAAATTGTCCCTAGGTGTGACTGAGAGAGTGAATAATTGTTTATCTCATTTGTCTCTATGTGTCCCTGTGATGGACTTGTGACCTGTCCAGGGTGCCTCTCGCACAGTGACTGCTGGATATGGGCACCAGTGATCCCTTGACCCGAAAAGGAAGAAGCGGGTAAAGATAATGAATAGATGGAAGGATGGTAATGCTACTGCTTTATGCATTTTATTCTGTAACAACAATAAGTTTACTACTGCAAAGGCTAATTCTGCTACTGCTAATGCTTCCAATGCTAATGCCATTTCTGTTATGGATAATTTTGCTATTCTTAATTTTATGCTGCTAATGCTACCACTGTTATTGTTAATTCTATTCATGTTACTATTGGTAATGCTAATTTACTATTGCTTATGCTAGAACTACTTCTACTACCGCTTTGCTGCTTTTAGTTAACGTACTGCCCGCCTTTAGCTTTTAGTTGGTATTTTTATAGTTTTAGCTAGTGTTTTGCAATTTTTAGCTTTTGGCTAGCAGTTTTCTGCCTTTATCAATTTGCAACTTTTAGGTTTTGGCTAGCCTTTACTTTTATAATTTCAATTAAATGTTTTGTTTATTTTCATTTGATCTATCTTGTACAAAAAAATTACTCAAACACTCACAGGATAATTCTTCATAATGTAAATTAGTGAAACAAACGAGCAACAAAAAGAGGATACGCTCATTATCTGGCCATGATTCACGTTAATGCTTTCAACTGTAAAGAGTCATTAAATTACAGAGAAAATGTTAGGCACGTACAGCAGCGATACGATCCACTTCAAACCGGTTACTGAGGATGAAACAGGCCTCAGCATCGTCCATCCTGCAGGTAGTTAGTGGAGCAGAAATTGGTGGAAGCCAAAAAGATAGACAGAGTGGGAGAGAAATAGGAAGAGAGAGTTGGGGGAGGCCAGCGAGACACAGGAAGATGGGTGTTGTCATGTTATTGTTAGAGAGGACAAAAGAGGAAAAAAGTGGGACGACTGAACAACAACTGTTTGGATGCAACGTTAAAGCCCACAAATGAAGATGAGACTGTAGGAGGTGGGGAATAAATAAAAAGGCTATATTTTGTTAAGCTACAAGTCTTGCACGCGGTGTCAGTATTTAAAAAACAAACAAACAAAAACACCTTGATTCAAGTTGTAATTACAGCTCAAACCTCAAGCTATTTTAGAAATAAAAAATGAACAATCTTCGGCATGTTCTATGTGGGTTTTTGTATGTCTCAAATGTTGATTTGGTTATAATTATCTTAGACAATCACTCACTTGGCCCTCATAAGGTCTTGGTCTTTGAGGGCAGACCCCTGCAGGTAAATGACTCTCAGAGCCCACAGAGGGACGTGAAGTACCCTCCTGACCTGGACGTCCATTTCTGCTGGGCAAAGGATCACCACGTAGTAGTCCTGCAAAACACACACAAGCTGCATTAATTATTGCAACACCTAATTTCTGTATTTGCCTCTCTAGGTGAACATCAAATGTCACAGATTAAATTAGATTTATTAAGAAGAATTAAAAATAAATTAGACTAAATTGAAAACGAAGAGAAAAATCAGATCAGAGCTACTCTCCACTACCAGTGAGGAAGAGTAAGATGATCCCCGGAAAATCAAGTAAATATTCACACCTTTAAGCAAACACACACACACAGCTGCTCCAACATGAATAAGACAAGGGTTTGATCCCTGCTGTTGCAGAATTACCGTACATCCTCTGCTTTACTCTTTTCCATTTGGGGGCCTGGAAAGGATTATTACAAAACAACAAATCCACATACGTGCACAAGAACCCCCCTGAAAACCTTCTTGTTCTACTTAAAAACAGACCTGAAGCCGGGGGTGAGCGAAGAACTCATTGAGGAAGTCCATGAGGAGGTCGATCTTCAGGCAGCTGACGCACAGCACCACGTGTTTCTCCGTTTGGGCCCTGTAGCGGCTGTAGTTGCCTCCAGATTTCTGTCGCTCCATCCACAGAAAGGCCAGCTGCTCAAACTGCATTCAGAGCGACATCCATCACATTCAACAGCTGGAAACTGGATTAAGTTAGCTGGAATACAGCAAGGACCCAGGTGGTGCATGAAAAGAAAATGAAGCCTTGTGTGTAGTGTTTCCATTTGATTAAGGAGAGTGTTTGGGGGAATTAAGATAAGAAGAAATGTCAGGATTGTGGATAGATGGAACATGATATCAAACATTATCAGAGAACAGTAGGAGATGGAAAAAGTATCAAGGCCTAAATAAAATGATGTAGATGTGTTCTGGTGCATCAGTGGGGTGGTGAATGGCAGAACATGAACTGGTGGAACACATTTACAACTGTTATCTCACAGGGAATATTTCAGTTTGTTTTTTTTTGAAGATCAAATCTTTTGAAAGCGAGTTCGTTGGAAAAGTTATGAAGAAATAAAATATTTTCTGCGAACAATCCGTTTGGACCAGTTTGACGAACTAAAGGCTAAAGTGGTGCCAAGACCAACGGGGCTTGCAGTCATCTCAAAACATCTTCATCTCCATATGGTTTCGGCCACACTTGGACTGGCCAACAGCTCAGGATTCCGGTATGGGGTAGAGGCAGGGCAGCCGACTCGGGACCCGAAGGTTTCAGGTTTGATCCCCAGTGATCCCCTTGACCCGAAAAGGAAGAAGCGGGTAAAGATAATGAATGGATGGATGGATGGTATTGCTACTGCTTTATGCATTTTATTCTGTAGCTACAATAAGTTTACATCTCGTGGTGTCTCTGAGCAGGACACCCTATCTCCAATTGCTCCCTGGGTGCTTTCAATAGCTGCCCACTGCTCCACCTTGGGGTAGATGGGTTAAATGCAGAGAGCCAATTTCACCATTGTATGGGAACATACAATGATGACAATCCATCCATCCATCCATCCATCCATCCATCCATCCATCCATCCATC